AGCGGCGCCAGCATTGAACGAATCCAATTTACAAGTACAGTACCTGTGTTCCATGCCGTAGACCAGAGTGGCACATGCCATCGACACGTTCAAGACTTTGCCATGGATACTGGCAAATCGACGCATTTTGGTCACCATTCTTCTTTTATCATGTAGCGAAGTTCTGCCACAAAAAAAGAAATACATTTTTTTCCAAAGTTATGCAAATTTCACAATTTCTTAGATTTTGCAAGCTTATTTTTAGAATATCTTAAAAACTATTAAAACTTAAGCAATGGTTCTGATCCCGTTTTAAAGGATATATTTATGTGCAAGAAAAAAAAAATGAAAATTTTGAAATTTAAAAAAAACCGTAAGAGCAAAAACTTATAAAATTTTGTGACAAATTTTTTTTTAGCAAAACACATCTAACTGATCTTAAAAGATCGCGAAATTTTCATGGTGTTTTTTAGAAATCAATGTTGAATTTTTTGCAACTCTAAATAAAGCTGTGTTAAACAATTTATATTAAATTTAAACTTTCTTTAATTTAAAGTTTGCAAAAAAAAATTATTTTCAAAGTTAAAAAATATAACATAAAACATCTTCTTGAAAATGTAAGGATGTTTTAAGATCAGTCGGAGGTATTGTATACAAAAATTAAGCCAAAAATTTATAGGATTTTGGTTCCACGACTTTTAAAATTTGAAATTGTGTAATTTTTTTAGTTTTGAATTTTTTTAAGATATGAGTTTTTATTTTTTTTGAAACTCCAAATAAAGATATGTTAAACAATTTAAATTAAATTTAAATTTAGCTTTGATTTAAAGTTTGTAAAAAATTTTACTTTTAAAATTAAAAAAATCATAGCCTAAAAACACCGCTTTGAGAATTCCAGGATCTTTTAAGGTCAGTATAAAAAAATTCAGTTTGGTCTTACGACTTTTTAAAATTTAAAACTGCGTTTAATTTTTTTATTTTCGATTTTTTTTTTTGTAAATATATATTTTATGTCTAGCAACTATAATAATTTCTGAGATTTCAAGAACATAAATTGCAAAATCCCGGAAATTGTGAAATTTTGTGCTTTAAAAAAAATTGTTCTCTGCCCCAGAACTTTGCTACATGATAAAAGAAATATTCTGACCAAAATTCAACTAAATCAAAAATGGCCGACTACAACCATAAATTGATCCATATGTATGTCAAGATAAGAGTAAACAGACAGTTTTAGGTATAATATTTATTTTTATTTATTGTTTCTCAGCCATTTTATTTATTTTTTTTTTATATTATCAAATATTATTTTAATCTCATTATTATTGTATTTGATTGCATTATTGTTGGAAAGAAGCAGCGCTGGTCATTTCCATTTCATAGTTGGCGCGATAAACTTATTAGGGCTGTTCCGAATCTTGTGCATATAATCTACCATTTGCATATTCGTTGCATTTGTAAATTCACAACAATAAAATGCATACGGTTGCCATGGCAGCAAACATAACATTTGCAAATGCAATTCCAACTACAAATCCAAGACCATTTCCACAAGATCGTGAACAACCCTATTGTGTTTATATTTGAAAAAATCCAGCAAATATGAATTTTTTTCATTATTATTTTTCTTTCCTTTTTTACTGATTTCCTTTTACATTGGATTTCGCTACGAAAGCGACGGTTCAATTGTTTGGATTTTAATAGGATATAATTTTTTCAAGTTTTTTTATACACGCAAGTAAGAAATTTTTATTTTGACGGATACATAAGTATGTTTGTATTTTTGCAGTTAGGCGCTTAGTACCTCAATATTATGAAAAACTAAGCTTGAGAGCTTGAGCTTTTCTAATTTTTCGGCTTTATTCTAGTCTTCTTTTTATGCATAAATGGGCAACTTATTCAGCAAAAGGCGGCTACTAAAACACTATAATACCGAGTTCGAGTTATTTATACAAAGTGTTGCATATGGGTCATTCCATACAATATTTACACCTCAATATTTTTTTGGGGTGAAATATATTTTTTTGCATTCTTTATCGAAAAAAGAAGACACCTATTTTTTTCGTCATGCTATTCGAAAATCTCGATAAAAATCCCGAAATTTTGAACTCACTTTATGTATAAACTTTATGTACGCAGGTATGAAAAAAGTCGTAACTTCTTCAGTGTTGGTGTTACCATTGTCAAATTTTTACAGCGTACTTCATAAAGTACAACTATTCAGGTTGAAAAAAAATAAAAATCGAACATGGTATTGTTAATGAAAAATAAAAAAATTTAATTTTTTAATGCAAACTTTTTTTTTATTTTAAACTATCTCACACTCCAATAGAAAGCCGAGAAAATTACGCACAGTTTGATACCTTAACTAACATTCTTTTAACTGCAAACAATTGAAAAAAGATACTTCTCCGTGAGTTCAAAATTTCGGGAATTTTTTTTCGAGATTTTCGAATATGATGACGAAATGAAAAAATAGGTGTCTTCTTTTTTTCGATGAGGAATGTAAAAAAATATGTTTCACCCAAAAAAAAAATTTGGTGCAAATATTGTATGGAATGGCCCATATTTATGTAAGTATATTTTTATAAAGATTTGGACGTGTGTATGTGTAGATTATAGATATGTATACAGGTTGAAGTGCAGGAATAGGGGGATTTTTTTTTTTTAAGATTTCGTAATATAGGATACATATACTTTTATTATTTTTTTAGAAATAAATGTGCAAAGTGGAAAATAAATTTTTTTGACTAATTTCTATACATTTTATATGGGCTTCATATCAAAACTGTGTGTGTTGCTTTAGATTTAATCTATATACACATGTGGTTGTAAAATTTATTTTACTGGACTAATGGTAAAAAAAATAAGCTCGCTCACGGTTATACAATAATGTTGTGTTTTTTTTTACTAAAATTTATTAGCAATGGCGCAGTTTCTTTAAACCAGTGGTGGGCAAACTTGAAGTATTGAAAATAAATCTTTGGACACCACATACATACCCATATACTTATTCATAAAAAATTAAATAGGTTGAAAATGCTTTATAAATCGAAAAGTTTTATGAAAATGTCTATTATAAAGTTCTCTAAACCTATTTTATTTTTTTATGAATAAGGTCATTGGTCTTAAGAGATCCCGAAACACTAGAATAAAAAAGGCTTTCCCCTTTGCTAAATATTCAAGAAAAAAACTGTAATTTTTGCATTTTTATTTTATATTGACAAAATAATTAAGTGCTTCACAATTTTCCAGATTTGTAAAAGATTTCAAGATTTTTCCGAATTATTCGGGATTATTCGTGTGTTACTTTTCTGGATTATTTTAGAAACGTTGGAGGATTTTATCGGGACGTTTTTTTCGGAATTCTTCGTGTTATATTTTTCAGAACTCGCCGGTATTTTTTCGTGACTTTTTTGGATTGTCGGCACTATTTCGGGATTTTCGATACTATGTCCGAACTTCTCTTCGTTTCTTACAATTTGTTATGAGGCTATATTTTTTGTGGAATTCTTCGTGTCTTATTTTTTCTAGATTTCAGAACTCTTGAGGTTATTTTATTCGGGGTAATTCGGACTAATACTTTTTTACATTATTTAGTGAAGCCTAAAATACTAAGTACATTTGTACGCTGTATTTCGTTAGGTAAAACTATATTTAGTACTCGAAAATAAGTAGATACATTTATATACTTAAGTATTAGTAGTACTTGGCAGACTTTTTAAAAGAACTCGGTTTTTAGTGGCATCCTAAGTACTTACATACAAAGAACTTGATTATTTGCTACAACATAAATAACTAAATACATACTTTTAAATTCAGACAATTTGCCCATCACTGCTTTAAACCGAATTTTTTCATCAGCTATTTTTTTCTTTATCAAGTGCAATTTATTCTTAATCGTGCTATAATTGCAATACTACTGTTCGCTAGCACAAAAATGAGTGGAATCCCACACCAAGGTTTTCAAGCTTTCAGCGTTTTATCTAGCTATGAGTTTTATAAGCTGAATTGAGTATTGAAAGGGTGAAAAGCTTTGAAAGCCTGAAAGGCGCTAAGCACCAAACAAACTTACTGTAGAATTCAACTCAAAAATCAAAAAGGCTCTCTCACCAAATACACGCGCAATCATTTTTATATTTGATAGGCAATACAACTATTACATAAAATATGGACATATCTAACCTGACAAGAAAAAGTATGAGCGCGTTCACGTCACAAATTCTGCTTGCTGTTTTAGAATTCTTGAAATCGTCATCTTTTACATATGTATGTATATCCCAAAGTTTTCTCCTTCTACTTTCGCTTCGACGCATTATTTTTATTTTCTCTTTCATCCTTTTGTAAATATTTAAATATGTGTTTACTACATAACTCTCCATTTATGTATATTTTCTGTAGGATATGATTTGTTTATTATTTGTATTACTATTCTTTTATTTCTTCTAACTACTTATTGATGCTGCCTTTTGATAGCTTTAATCAAATAAAAGTAACCAAAGGTATTTTTTTTATAAAGAATACACATAAAAGCCTCATAAAATCTGCACAAAATAACTATTTTTAAGTATTTTTTTTTTTTAATTTTAGCTTAAATATATTTTAATTTATAAAAATATACATACATATGTATTTAAACTATAACCACTTGCCTTTGAAATTTCTTCTCTTCTGCCGCCACTTCATGCGAATCGAAACCCTTATTAAGAACAAATGAAGCATACGTAAAAATCATATAACATTTATTTATGCACATATTTACTTTATTAACTGTATTTTGTAGCTAGATAAATTTATTTTTGGTATAAAATTATAAATGTAGTTAATAGAATATTAATTAAATTCAATGTGTCATCCAATTAATAGCTAAATTATTACAAATAGAAAACAATATTACATATATATGCATAAGTGCTTTATAAAAATGCTTTTGTGATATTTGTGAAAAATATAAATATATTTTTAAATGTTGCTTAAAAAACAAAGAAATTAAATTTATGTTTATTTAGCTTTCGCTTCAAATGTTAAATATCGTTTGGGGAAAAATACCAATTTCAATTGATAAGCAATGGCACTGTTAGAACTACATACATTATCAATATCTTAGTTAAACTAAAATCTGCTAGCTTAAATGAAAATTAAAAAATATCAATCGGGCAGGTTCTGCAATTCACTTCCGAGTGAATTTCAATCCCTGCCAGTGTGAATTCAAAGCGGGTTTGATTGAAATTCACTCGGAAGTGAATTGCAGAACCTGCTTGAATATAAAAAATTGAATACCGTAAAAAATATGGCAAACGTTGTGAAACCAAGACATTTTTTGCGTGCATACAATTTTGCAAAGTCCACAAAATTTCATAAAAAGAAAAAACTAATTCGATTGTTAAACAATTTCTGGCCATGCAGAGGCAGCAAAGCATAACTGCGTAATTTTTCTAAGTAAAAAAGGAAGCTGTGTGCTCTTGTTTTAGTTTGTGTGCAAAGTTCTTTCAATTTGTTTTGCTTTTTTGCCTATCCTTTTGGTTTTGCATAATAAATAAAAACTTAAAACATCTTCAGTCTTTTTTTTAATATTTTTGTATGCAATTAGTGATTTTGTTATTGTTATTGTAGCCGTGATTGTTTTACTTGTTGCTGGCGTGCTACAACAGTTAAATTATTAAGCCCGGCAGCGGGCTTATTAACTTTGCTCCACAAGTAGTACATATATAACTGAGTTCGAAGCTAAATTCTATAATACAGACCGTTTTATTTTTTGTTAGTTATTAATTAATTTTTCAATTATTGCGTTAAGTAGAAAAAAGCAAGTATAGATAAATATACGTGTATTGGTGTATAGTTTATAATTTAGTGACAGTTGTAGTTTGTATGTTATTAATTAATAGTAAAAAAATGTTGGGCTGTGTATGCGTATGTGTAGATATTCGTGGAAATTATCATCGCACGTTATTTTTGCAATTTCGTAAGGAAATACGCGTACTATGCAGAACATTAACAATTTCATCGTGTTGAATTTACGTGTTTTCTTACATTCTTTACAAATTTATTCTTTTTCAAACATTTCGAATTCTTTGTTCACCTTCAATCTGCATTGGTTTTTTCTTGCACTTACTTATCTAATAGTACAGATTATTTGTGTGTAAATAGTACATACTTACATATTTGTTAGTTATTGAGTAAGAAAGTATTGTAATTTTGTTTTAGCGCACAAGTTGTGAAATCAAATTGGAAAAATTTTGATAAATACTAGTATGTATGCAGAATGTGAGTGTAATAGCGTATCAGTTAAGCTTAATTTATATGTAAATGGGATTCTCTTGTCCCGTGAGTAAACGAAACATCGAAGTCGGCATAGTTTTCATTAAGATCTGCGTGAGAAAGTAAGAACATCAACAATTAAATGAAACTAAAAAGCAACCATAATTATTTTGTTTTACCTCGCCCACAGATGTAGCGAGCAGATTGACAATTTTTTCATGCGGCACTGCCACCACACTCTGATTATTGATTTCAATAATGCGGTGCCCGACGCGCACGCCGCCACGCTCTGCAATGCCGCCACGCAGAAGGCTGCAAATCTGTTCGGAAGTAATAAAAATATGTATTTTTTTCATTTGTATAGCACTAAAAACTAGATATGCAACGAACTAAAAAAAAACGAAATCCACTACTCACCACGCCGTTTTGCACACTGAAGCCCAGCTGATATTTTGTATTGGGTCGCTTGATTTTCACCTCGACCACCGGTGGGCACGGCACCACAGTGAATTTTACCGCTGTCTGATTTTTGGCATTGCGTATATAGCTCTGGCATGTCGACAACGGTAATCCTACCAAGCTCATGCCATTTATAGCAATCAACTGATCACCGATATTCAACTGACCGCAACGCGCCGCTGCACCTGCCGACATCAGATTTGCTATCACTACAGTAGGCAGCATTGAGCCCCAGCCGCTTTCCACAATCACTACTCCAAGTATTTCACCTTTCACCTTCGGCACAACCACCTCCTTTTGCAATTCCTTCTTAGCGAATATTTCCAATTCATCGCCGAAGATCTCTTGACTATTAAGCACCTCTTGATAATCCATTTCCTTTACAAAACTATGATCTTCAATGCCATTTGCTTTCAGAAATTCCATGTAGGCCACCTGAAAGGCTTGACCGATTGATTGCGCTATAAATTGCGCTTCATCGCTCTCGAATACATGACAAATCATTTTTGGCGTGCGATTGTGCTTACTACTGCTACCGCCAACACTGCAACCAACGCCATTGACGGTGCCACCGCCGTTGCTGCCGCTACCGTTACCGCTGCTATTCACCGCAGCGCCATTTTCTTGAGCGTCCTTATTACCATTGCCACAGCCATTTGCCACATCTGCGTCCGAGCCACACGAATCAGATGGCACGAACCGTCGCCGAGCCATCAACACAACCAAATCGCCGATGTCGGCTATGTAAGAAATTGTACGCAAAGCATGATCCATCATAATCTCCTTGAGGTCTGTATTGAGCACCATAATCTTCTCGGTTGATATAAATAGATCTACTTCGGTGGAGGGTTGGCTTTCGCCTTCTGGAGCCTATCAAAAAATTAAGAGAAAATACCGTTTGTTTAGAGAAAGAGAAATATGTATGTACATACAAATGTGGCTAATGATAAATTTTACAATCAGTCGATTTTCAAACTGTAAGCACTGAGGAAGAGGAAGGCCTCTTTTGCGTTGGTAATACCAGGTGGAGAAGGATTTGGCTTCACTTGGCATTTCCAAATGGCGTCAGTTGGCACAGAAGAGAAACGGCTGGCGTGTTGTTTTGGACTCGGCCAAAATCGGTTAGGCTGTTACAGCGCCAATAAAGAAGAAGAAGCACTGATTCTAGCAACACTTACCAAAGCCTACAGGGTTACACATTCATATTCGAGCAGCAGTGGGGAACAAAGAATAACATTTAAATTGTATAATAATTTTTGTAGCAAGTACACTTGATCCTCTTTTTACAGCTTTTCTTAGGCACGGCTTTTATTTTTTACTTTTTCAGTTTCTTTATTTGTATTTTTCAGGGGGTTTGCGACTCAATTTCATTTTTATCTCGTCCCCAATGCAAATGAAATGCGATTATTAATACTTTTCTTGAGAAGAATATGGTATTTTGCATGCGTTTTTATTTAATAATTTAATCCCAAGGGATTATTGTATACAAAAAGAGAATCAGTTGTATTTGGTTAGCGACACGTTGGTGTACAAATCTCTTGCAAGTAACAAAATAGTTGTACGGCAATTATGTTTGTAATTACCTTTATGCGCGAAACGGCCTCTTCAGCCTGCATCATCCGCGTGGACTTCGTTGGCTGGCCCTCGCATACCAGCTGTGTTGAGCCTAAATAACGTGCACGAAAGAGGACGCCTTCAATTAGCACTGCAGGATCCAATAGCCCTGGCAAGTAGAAGAAAATGTATTAATTATATAATGAAATTTGAAATTACATACATACATACGATACACAAAACAAAATAATAAATAAGATCAAACAAATCCTTAATCGCATATGTACATATGTATATGTATATACTAATTCATGTACATCGCTAGAGAAGTTGATACTCTATATTATTTTGAAACCAATGCCAACTTAAAACAGGATTTAACGATACAAGTTTGTACATAAAGTACATAAGCATTTACAGCAAAACAAAAAGTAAATAAAAGCAAAAAATAATTCACGCTTAAACTAATGTTCACTAAATTACTTTACATTAGACTTACATTGATGTATGTAAACACGAACATACACACACACACCCATTACGTTGTGCAATTGTATTTTCATTAACGTTTTAGTTTGATTTATTTATTATTATTTAATTTATTTTATTTATTTAATATCGTATCATGTTAGCGTGCAAAGACAATCAAAGAGACAAAGAGACAGACGGCCACAAATAAAGATTATACATATAGACATTGAGAGACAAAGCATATGAATTTTTCACTTAGCTTACCCTCTTTGTTGCGTGTCTTTGCCTTCTTATCGCTGTTCGCTGAATCTTTCAGCGACTTGATGGAGCCAGTTGGACTTTTTGTGTATTGCAACTTTTCGGGTGAGCTGAGCGTAACATCTGCGCTGCCTACAATCTGACACTGTTCGGGCGAACTGGGCGTTAGCGCTGTGCCAATGCCCTGACGAATGGTGGCTGAGGAGAATGCTGGCGGTTTAATACTGACAGAATTTGTGGTGAGCATTGTGATGTCCGATGTACTAGGTGATTGGTCATTGGAATCTGTGCCGACGCCGATACGTGATGTTTTGGGCCAAATTGTCTGTTGAATCAAAGCATGTGCCGTGAAAAAATTAGAACGCAACCTAAAATTAGGCAATGTTCTTTCATGCATACTCACCTTATCGTCAAAGTAACCTTGCTCATCGAGCCGCTGTTGACCCAACAGTCGGTCCGTTTCCAAATCAGTATCGGGCTCCTCCTCGTCCCCTGCGATCGCTCCGCTCGCGCTGCCACCATTGCCACTACAATGCAGATCATGCAGGTTAGCACCAATCCGATTGGTTGTCAATGAAGCGCTAGTTGGCGAAGTTTTACGTGGCACCCACACTGGTGATTCCGGGTCGGGCGGTAATACCTCATCACAAAATTTTAATTTTTCTGGCTGTGTTTTGGCACGTTGTAGCGCCGAACGTATCTCCTTCATTGCTTCTTGTATATCTGCCGACTCGCGTTGCTGTTTCGCACGCACACACTGCCGATATGCTGCAGGTGCTGGTGGCGGTGGTGGAGATTGCTTTGTAGCTGTAAAGATTAAATATATATAAATACGAAATGATTCAAAACGTACAACAATGATGAAAACAAAGCATTAGTATTTTTAGCCACTTTGATAGATTTTGTTTGGCATGCTTACTCATCGTGGTTGCGTAGACGGCATCATAATTGGAATTGTTGTGACCGAGCTCATTCGATGCGTTCGAACAGACAGCGGCATTATTGCTACAGCAGCCACCATCATTTTGCATTAGTTCATCACTGCGGAGCTGAAATTCTGACTGGCGCTGGTGGTGCTGCTGAATCGTTTGATCAGGAACTTCAATTAAATCGTTTATTAAATTGCTGTCCATCGTTACAGCGTTCACAATGCTGTTTGAAATGCAACTGTCATGGCACTCGAGCGACAAGCTCGCATTGTACTCATTATTTTGCAGCATTGTTGGAGGAGTATGCGGTTGCTGTAGCTGATATTGGCGTGTTTGAGTCTGGATCGTCAGAGCCACTTGTGCTTGACCATTTTCTGCGCAGTTGCTTTCCACTGTTTGTTTTTCACTCTCAACGGTGGTATTTACATTATTTTCCGTATCCGATGCATGGCCGCTAGATAGGCCATCCTCCAGTACTGGCATACTGGTGTATAATTTACCATAGTCAGTGGGACAATTTATGTCATTTGACAAGCTGTCCAGATCACCGCAATTCGAATCGTAATCAGTAGTCTCTGGGGATAGTGTGAAATTGCGAGAATGGTGGCGCAAATTTGCTTCTAATTCGGTGTCAGCCAAATCGCCACTACTGCGACTATTCGAATCTATGTACAACTCGATATCATTGTTTTCATTGTAAACAGACTCACAGGGCTGGCGAAACAGAGAAGGTGAATTAGTTAAACAGAATTATTATTGATATAAATAAGCTCTGCGACGAGAAAAGTATGTTTATGTAAGTCAAAAGTGTTATCGCATAGTTAATTACAGGGTGAGAAAGATTTAATTAAAACTGCAATGCTATTACAATAAATAAATAAATAAATAAACTGACATACAGTTGCCCACGAAACGATAGGAGTGTGATGTTTTGACAATATTTCTTTTGTTCATTTAATGCATGATAACAACAATAATAATTTAATGATTGTTATTTTATTATAAAATTATTTACAAAAATTCTGTTGAAAATTTGTCGAATTTTTATTAAAAAAAAAAATAATAAACATTAAAGAAATAAAAGAGAAATGTTCAAAACTGGTCAAAATATCCCACTCCCATTATTTTGTACAACTGTATATACAAACTCTCGAATGCAAACAATTTTTACAACGTAGACAATTTTTGCTTTTCTACAAAACTTTTTGCAAGCCCCCTCCCCGCCCCCCTTTTCTTGTCGATAATGTTATACTTCAAATGTTGATAGAGTGACAGTCCTTGGCCGGCCGGTTACGTTGAACCTACTGGCTGCAGAAGGGCTTTACACTTATGTATTTCATACAGTTTTCACTTAAAAATAATAAAAATAATATGGGACCGGATTAATGAAAACAGATGTTCTGTATTTTCTTATCTAAAACATGGTCACCACAGGTATGAAGTTGCTTAAGCAATAAAAATACGCGTATGTGTTATTTATATTACCCAACTACTCAACTATACTCACTTGTTTGCGTGGCGACCGATGCACCATATTCAACTCATCTTTGGGTATTCTGGCTAAGCGTTGTCCAATATATGCTTGCTCTATGTGTTTTCCTTCTTCGCGCTCACGTTCACGCTCACGTTCATACTCCAAATGAGTATCCTAATGGATAAAAAAAACAAAACGAAAATCTAATTCACCCCGCAGCAAAAAATAATTCACACCAAACGTACACAACTTCCCACATCGTCGCCGCTTTCAGTATAGTCAGTAAAGCGCTTTTCATCTTCTGAATTTGCTTTAAAAAAATCTTCCAATACTTTACGCGTCTCAGAGCACTCGTACAAGTAATCAAAAGCAGGCGTTTTTACTTGGCCACCATCAACTGCGGCCGCGTGTACGCTTCCATCGTCGATATCAATCAAATTGCCAATTAACTTATTATCATGACAGTCATTAGTGCCAGCACCAGCAACGCTTGTTGCCACTAACGATGGTGTGTTTGCATAATACTGTGTTTGTTGTAAGCTAAGTTGGCCATAGTGTGTAGAACGTGTATTGAAATCTTGTTGCATTAGCTGTTGCTGCATTGTCGAGTATTGTTGTGGCTGATTTTGTGCGCCTGCAATGGGTGATACACGCTGTGGAAAGCCTGGTGGGCGCTTGGAAAATATGCTAGCATTCGCTTGCTTCATATTACCGTGCGGTTGATTGCCAAAGCGACGTGGTGAGCCTTCATACTCAGCTATTGGTAGCTGGCCAATCATCTTAGTTACTTTTAAGACATCTTCGTTGTTGTGTTGATGATGTACTGACGTAAAGGATTCGTTCGTGTTTTTTGGAACTGGGATTCCGCTTAGCACAGCGTTGGAAATGTTGGCCGCGTTTGCCTTATTCATCCAATTTGTGTCAATATCATCGAAAACGACTATTTCTCCGTCGCGCAAACACTGCACTCCAGCTTTGCCAACGTCTGTGGGGGATCCACCTGGGCTCGCGAGACCCTGCAAATGAATGAAATATAGAGAATCTTTTATTTATACATTTTGAATAATTGTATTTACCTGCGGCATTACGTTTTGCTGTTCGAATTGGCTTCCGGGACTACGTCCTACTCTAATCTGATGATGCTGCCGATGTTGATGATGGTGCAACGCGTACTGCACATCTGTATTTAAATCAGGCGAATTCAGCACAGTGCTTGCGGGTGTAACGTTGGGACTGCGCGTGCGCATTTCCCATACGTAGCGCTCTTGCGGTTTTTCACAGTGTTTACCTACAGACGTGGCGGGCGGTGCATTCATTTCGCTATTCAAATTCAAATTGTAATCATTGCCAACATCTGTTGCAAGACCGCCACTACCAATACCACCTACGCTGCCGACAACAGAATGCATTGTGCTACTGGTTGAGGGGGTGTTTGGATTGTTGGCGGTCGCAATTGTACTCGATATACGGGTTGTAGATGGCAACCCCATTGTGACGGCATTTTGAGGCATATGGAATATGACGCGTCCATTGTTAGACGTCTCCAATTCACTGCTATCAGAGTTCATTGTCTGTCTGGGTTGTTGTTGCCACTGGGATGTTCTTGTTGCAACTGTTTGTTTTCGAACGTTAGCTTTTATCTTTCCTGTTTTTGTGATTTAGGTAGTTGGTTTTCAATTGTCTCTATCGTCTGTCGACTGTTTGCTCAACGCTAAGAATTGTTCATGGATCCTTACCCAACTCACTCTACTGAGGATATTGGTTGTTTAAACGAGGTTGACAAATGTTGTATTGGAACGGAAAAATCTGTTTTATTGTCCTTGTAATCTTTTTCAATTAACTCGCTCTGTTTGCAGTGGTGCTTTGCTGTTTTTTCATTCTTTTTTCCAAACAAAATCCAATTAACAGCGGAGGCATAACGGCGTTTGGTTTTCATCTAATGCATTCCTAGAATAAAGAACGATACCTAACATACTTTCTTTGTTTTTTTAAGTTCATTGACATGCAATGGTGACATCATCACGGTGACTGCATGCCACTGTTACTAATCATGAACATCTTTAATTTCCAAGCTGAATATTTTTTTTTTTGTTCGACTGATGACCTCTTGTATACATATATATATTTTTATAAGTAAATATAGTTTTTACATACATATACTAAAATTGTATTCCAATGTACATACATACATATGTAGGCACATTGCCAAACACAAAGAGACTTCCTTCGTGAGGTTTGTATGACGCGATGGCAAGCGGCCAGCAGTAATGGGCAGCGCAGCTACCACTCTGAACTGGCACATCTGCTACTACAAAACTCGTATTTATGCACTTGGCCTCTAAAATTTCAAAGAGGCAAAACTTTTATAATCAAATGTCTACCCCAAAGAACCACTTCGATAGAAGGCTTTACAAACACTAATATACATAGAGGCAACTATCGTGCCAACAGCTAGCATTCACAGCATCCCAACCCCAAATGCATAAAACCACGCATCAGCTACGACGCTGCGCAAAGCTTCGTCTATGTTTTACGAATGTAATAGCGCAATTGTGCTAGTTTGTTCTAGGTGGGTGGCAGAAAGGTTGCCTGGTGTGCCCAACACCCACTTCACAACCTGCTAGACGGTTTCAAGTATATGATTTGTCAAAAGTGTGGCGAGTGCCACCAGGGAGATCTGTTTGCTGCTCTGCTGGCGTTGCACAGTCATCAAAGGCTTGTCTACGCGCATTGATCCGCTCCACACGTTTCCCCATCGTATCGAATTTCATTCATTGATTATTATAATGTAAATGCATTTTAAGAAACTTGACCTTTTTCGGTGTTTCCTTTGCTTAAATTTAATGCAAAAAATCAATAAATGAAAAACGTCTGCTGAACTCCGAGCACGTAATCACCTCCGCAGCTTGCTCACCAATAACACATTAACTAATTAGTGATTTTATATGAAACTACAGTTTTAATTTGTTTACACACAAACATTACCTGCGGACTAATTTTTAGCCGCTATTTACCATCATTATTATTTTTACTGAACCACTTTATTGCACTTTGAAACTTCACTGCAGTTGCTTGCAGTCAATTTTTCAACAAACCTCGTCAATGACACAAATAAGGGTTAAACGAATGTGCCTCCAAAACAACATTGATGATGTCAGAACGAATGTCAGAACAGAGATAGATCACAAAACTTCCACTGGAAGCACTACCGGACGTCACTGGAATGCACTACCGGAAGTATAGGGTGATAAACACTGGTTTCACCCTGTTGCATTTGGTCCCAACCGATATTTGGTCCCATATAATAGTTGCGTTTTTTTTACTAATTTCCAGTAAAATCCAGTAAAAGTTTTTACGAATTTTCATGTTTTGGCGTTTTCGTTCGTACGCAAAAACTTGCAAAGTAGGGGAAATTGAGAGAGCGAAAGTTGTAAGTTTTTACTGGATTTTACTGGATAAATTTTTACTTGTAAGAATTTGCCAGTACGAAAAACAGCTGATCGCAGGTTGCTGGATGAAATTTTAACTAATAAGGAAACTGTTTGTGGCTTTTTATTGTGGAAATTCACAAAATAAACATATTTAAATATAAAATATATTGTTTTATTAGGAATATGCTGCGAATAAACAACCAATTTATCAGCTGTTCATGAAACTTGCAAATTATTACTGGAAAAGCGTTCACGTACCTTTTTGTAAATTTTTTCTATGAGAGCGAATTCTTAGAAATAAAGTTACTGGAGAGTTGTTGGCAAGTTACTGGATAATTTGTAAAAAAACACAACTAATATCCCATTCCTTGTAACTGTAATTCCCATTTCCAATTAATTAATTAAACGAAAAAGCAAGCAAGCACCTTTTGCACATATTTACATTACAATCGTTCCTTAAATCGTTTAAATCGTTCTTTGGTGATTCGTCTGAATCGTGAATCGTTCTTGAGAACTCGTTCGAAATTTTTGTAAACAAAAGTGTGATTATATTACGTAATTACGTGAATTATATAGCTTTATAAAAATGAGCCGTGTAAAAAACTGCATTAACGAAAATAGCGAGAGGCGGCTTTTTTCGTTCCCCAAGGACGCAAGTGAGGTGGCCAAATGGAGGGAGAATCTCCGCATAAAGGATAAATGCACCGGAAATCTCTGGAAGCACAACCGGAAGTATAGGGTGTTTTTGTCATGTAAATTCAGGCAAAGAACGTAAAAGGTTGTTTACAAGATCACGTAAGAACGCGGCGTTGTATTTGTAACTGGTTTTGAGAAAAAAGTTTGCGAAAGCGGGTTCGTCGGCTGAGCGTTTGTTTACATCACAAGCACCACTATTTTACACTTTTATTCAAGTAAAGAAGAGTTAATTCAACATGACAACACATTTTAAAGCATTTTGTTGCATCATTTTACCTAAATTGTGCGTTTAAAGTGGCTGACAATAATTTTGGCTAATTTTGGTTTTCGTTGTTTTCTTTGCTTTGTTTACTTTTCGCTCGTTTTCCAGTGAAACAAGATGGCGTAGAACCCGCTAAAAAAATCGTCTTTTTTCACTCTCTTGTTCTTACGTGATCTTGTGTCTTTCGTTCATGAATGCTAAATAAAATAAAATAAATTCCTGCTGGCAATATCAGTGTTGACACAAAAAAAAATACCAAATTCTTCAAAAACAAACGAAAAATCCTCAAAATACGAACAAATTACTAAAAATTTTCTTATTACAGATTTGAGTATCTATTGTGTACTGCTACTATTTAGAGGTACGTAGTATAAAAATTAATTACATTCTCCAATTCAATTCGTATATTTGTTCTTGCGGTTCAAACCAAGTATCACTGTTATTTTGTATGCCTTGGTTTGTGTATAATATTGCTATACCAGTGCTCAATCTGGTCCTCAAGTCAGTCCTACACATTTTTAAACAACTAAATATACGTTCTACTGAAGCATTAGAAAAGGGCTTTATTAATAATGCAGATATATATATTTTTTCTAATTGGGAAACTTACATATATGAACCTGAAGAATCTTTTAATTCAAATCTTTTTTCCTATAATTTTCTGGATCTAATGAAGAATCAATATAAATACCTTTATGATCGAACAATGCGTGTTTTCTCCATTCGTTATCGAGATTTTGCAAGTTCAAAATAAGTTGAAAATACAACGATGGAATGAAAAAAATTATCGATAATATTTTGAATATTAAGCAACAAATGCAGATGTGCTTAGGAACGAAAAACACCACACACGCGGCTTGACAAACCAAGGGAAATATTCCTTTCCTTAAAGCTATTTATGTTGTGTATGGGGGTGTTTGATGGTTTGACAAGCCGTGTGAGGAAAATGTGAACAAAATCAAAATTTTTTGACTTTCTGGCCGCCATGTTGACACTTGATCAAACCGCTTACGTTGTGTATTATAAAATCGCCTCATTCGCATGGGGACGTGAGAGAGAAAAATCGAAGAAACCCAAACCCGTTTAAATTGCGAACCGCAAGAAAAATTAAATTATTTGTTTGAACGAGTCATGTTTGCATGGTATATGGCTAAATGGGAAAAGTAGATTTGAAGAATGTTTGAAAAGCCACTTGTGTGGTGTATTTAGCCCTTTATTCAACTTCGGAAAGCTTTTTGTTCAAAAATTTTCGGAGTGATTTAACAACTCTCTTGTGTAAAACATGACTGCATTTGTTATCTGCAAATATATCGAGAGAAAAAACCCTCAAAATAGAAATCCTCAACAAATACTCAAGCGCGCCCGAAATTCACGTTTTGAGGAATTACCTGAAAAGTTTCAACACTGCGCAATATACTACAGACATCTACAAAGTTTGCTAAATAAATCACACAAGCTGCTGATTAAACCTACTTTAGTATTTTTCCATACACTTATTTGTAGATGAAAAATAAATTTATTATGATTTATTATTGCGGGTAAAGTATCGATGACTTCGATATATCGACCTTGGAATATCGATTCAAAAAATCGATTATCGTGCCATGAAATATCGATATTCTGAAGAATCGATACGATATCGAACATTCTTAGCTGCCGGTTTTGTCAAAAATGACAGCAAACGAAGCACATAAACAGCTGAGCTACACCACAGCCACATTTCCTCAAAGTCTTTAGATTGCAATTGTAGAAAATTTTCGATAGGTTTTAGTTATTTTTATTAATTAAAATATGGCGGCAGAAGGTGTAGTAATAGATCCAGCTGAACGTCTTAAGTTGGGACCACGTGAAGGAGTCACATATCCTTTGGTTGTGCAATATTGTGGCAACTGCACAATGCCACTTGAAGTAAGGACCAGAACGTTGTGAAAGCCCTATTAAAACGTGTAATATATTTTATTTTTACGCTATAGTACTGTGAATATTACCCGGAATATGAGAAATGCAGAGCTTGGCTAGAAAAGCATCTTCCTAGTGAATTTGAACAAATGAAAATCAAGGATGAAGCAGCTGCGGCTGATGGCACAGATGATGATAAGAAACGACAAAAAAGAGGGGGCAAAGGAATGATGAAGATTAATAAAAAGAAGGAAGATGTTCCTAAAAAGATCACCGTTTCAAGAGCTCCGCGTGGCAAAAAGAAGTCGGTAACAGTAGTTACCGGGCTGAACACTTTCGGTAGGTTAACTTAAACTATATGAGAAATTTAAAAATGAGCACTTATAAATTTGATAAACAAGCTTTATTTCTTTTTATAACTTCCTTTAGACATAGACCTTAAAGTTGCTGCAAAGTTCTTTGGCACAAAATTTGCTTGTGGATCATCTGTTACAGGCGATGATGAAATTGTTATCCAGGGTGATGTGAAAGATGATCTATTCGATGTCATACCAGAAAAGTGGCCAGAGATTGATGAGGATTACATCGATGACTTGGGCGATCAGAAGCGTTAGAGACGATGCTTGGACTGCGTCAAATGCATTTCCAATAAATAAAAATAACTGCACAGAATTTGTAGAAAAAAATACAAATTGTTTATTTTCAACTATTTTCAGAGGGTATGTTAGGAAAGTATTTAGTGACTGTTTGTAGAAGTTCGTTGACTTGCTCTTCGGTTAAACGTTCTTCACTGTCTTCGATTAGCTAAAATATATACAAAGGGAACAGTTTTAAGATAATACATACATAAACCATTAGTGTAGCAAATTTGAAAGTGAGGAAATTTATTACCAATTGAATGTGTAATGCACTAGTGGGTGGATCATTGACCATCATCAGGCACTCTGTGGTGGTCAGTTTACAGCTTAGGTGTCTCGCTTCAGTCAGGAAACTATGAATTGTCTCACGGGATTGCTGTTTGCATGGCGAGTCTTCAAGATACTGCAATGTCTATCAAAACAAGTTGAATCAAACACATATTGTTTTTTTTTTTTTCTAAACCAAAGGAATACCTCATACGTTATGGTAGCTAAATTCCGCAACCCGTATTTCTTCTTGGTGTCCTTAAGAGTTTTCAGAGATTCCATTACCTCGTAGTTCGAGATCACTGAATAGCATGGGTTTACACTGATGATAATACAAGGTCCATTTTACAATCTTATAGTTTATTCCAGGAATACAGTACTCACATTTCCATTGTAATAAATTATAGATCCTGGCTCGTGTTTTGGTTTATTTCCCTTTTGGCTACAAACGTTTACTTTTGTTAATTTAAATATCGTAATATACGATCTCTTTTACATATGATTCAGGGTTGCATTTAGGGCTGTGCTGTTTCCAATTAGAATAACAGCTTGTGAAATGGAACAAAATTTACCGGTTACAATTTTTTTTTTTACCGGCGCAGAAAAGACCTGTTAATAAAAAAAATCGAGAAAAGTTTGCTTATTTGTACAACGATTTTGGTGTGGGGCGGAAGGGGGTGGCCCCCGGAACCCCCCTTAAACGAAAGAGGATGGACACCGCTTTATGAAAAGTGTATGATTCTAGAAGAGTTAGTTAGATCTATTTCCATTTTTCTGGCGACAGATAAGGTCCTTCCTCTTCTTTTATGCCAAACTCATACAAATTCATGATGTCGCTGCCGCGTTCAAAGAAATCATGCCGCCATCGACAAAGCGTTTAGATAATGAAGATGACAAATTGGAAGCAGTGGTACGTAGCTCGCCGCTTCCAATGCGTTCAGAACTTATCGCTGGAAAAATAGAAATAGATCTAATCTGGCCACAACCACAGTCGTCGCGTAGCCCTGTCGTCGCCAAAATAATTATCTACATAAGAGTACGTGTTAGACTGCTTTTACACAGTT